TTTAAGTAATATGCATCAATGTACAGTACTTCATGCATAAAAAATAGTTTTTAAGAATTTTTGTCAAATGTTTTATAATATAGTATAGATATGAGTATACATCATTTTTGGAACAACAGATACAATATCAGATACCCATATACTTTCTGAACATAAATACATACTGATACCAAGTATCAAAATCAACTGATCACACGTACTTGAAAATTGTATTAAAAACCATTTTAAAATTGTGTTGATAATCAATATGAATGTTACTAGATGACATAGCGGTATGATCAGTCTGTCACATATGAACCTACTGAGTAGCAAGTATAATGACTGTAGTATGTACCTGTAATATCTGAACATACCAAGTACAAATATCACCTAAAGAAACATGTATTATTATATGCAATTTGCAGTACTGCACCTATTACTACATACTCGATATATAATCCCCCATACGTACCAAAATATTTTCAAGCGTAACGTACTTCCATCAAATATTTAGCATGCATTTAAAGCTATAAATATAACATCCTTTCACAATTCTGAAAACATTAAAACATATATGAACATAATGTTTAAGATTTGAAATACAATAATAGCTTTAAAAATATTGTATCATTTATGAAAAATAACTAAAAACATTAAATAAATACTATTGTATATATCTCAAGGGTTGTTTACCAAACACTTAACCAGTAAAATTTAACATTATCAATTACTTACCTGGTAAGATTTTAGTCCACCTTAACTTGGTTTGTCACTCTTTAAACAATTTTATGATTTTATATGATTGAATGATATGAAGTCATAAGCATGTCTATATTGAGATTAGAAGCATGAAACGGAGAAAATTGGTGTGTCACCCCTGTTGCCTGGAGCATGACCGATTCATATATGAACTCGTATGATTTTCACATGAACTAATTAACAGGTTCACATATGAATATATGGTTTATATGTGAATCACATAGGTTCACATATGAATTCGTTTGTTGTCTATTTGTAAAAGTTATGAAACTACACCTTCATCTTTTGCAAACACATACGAGAAATTATTTGGTTCTTCATGGTGAAAGATGCAAATGTTGACCAGATGAACGGTTATGATATATTACCTTTTTACTTCTAAAATATTTACTACTTTCCAACTAAACTTTTCCACATGTATATAGACACACACACACACACATATAATAGAAGAGTACTCGCACAATGCAACGAGATACATCTTGATTTTAATGTTTCGTTTTATGTTTTTGGTCTATTGATGTTATAATGCGATTTTATGTGGTTTTGAGAAAAAGAAAATGTTTTTATTTTTGAATGAAATATAAATTTGAAGATATTATAAAATTTTGAAAAAAATTATCGATATTAATAACAAATTAATTATTTAAAACACTACAATAAAATCGGGTTTA